TCCTCGTACTTCTCTTTTTCTTTCTCCTTTTCCTCGTACTTCTCTTTTTCTTTCTCCTTTTCCTCGTACTTCTCTTTGTTTTTCTCTATCTCCTTCTTCTCTTTAAACTTCTCTCTTTCTCTCTCCTTCTCCACTTTGCACTTCTCCTTCTCTTTGAACTTCTCCTTCTCCTTCTCCTTGAACTTCTCTATCACCTTCTTTCGATGTTTTATAGAAGAATATCGATACTTTTCGCTGACATAATAACGCTCCTCAAGAGAATTATCCCGGCGATGCGGAAAGGCTGTGACCATATTGACAGCTAAGAGTAGAGTGAATAAGAATAGACTCACAGAGAATTTCATTTTTTTTTTTTAATTAGTTATTTAATGGTACAAGAGATGTTCTATGAAAAATATGTTTTTTTTTTTTTGACGTTACGAAGACTCGAAGCTTATATAAAGAAATTTTTGAGATATAATTCATACAAGGGTTGAAACGTCAAGTCTAGAAAGCGCCTTTACAACTCTTCTCCTACCTGAAGTAGTGTCAGCAGTCGTAGATCATATTTATGCTTTTTATCGTCGAGAATACGAATCATTCTTCTTTATTCTCATATGATCCCTGGATAGTTTCGCGTCTAGCAACGAAAGTGATCTCCGAGACTTAGTTTCTATCTTCTTGCGTGTTTTATGCAGGAGCATTCGCGTCAGAATTTCTCGGTAATTTGACTCTAGATCATTACAGGAATGTGAATTAGACAAAACGAGTTATATAACCCGAGATTTTCATTCGCAAGGATATGTTTCAGCACGATCTTAAAAACAGTAAAACGCCAAGCAATACGATCCGATCATTAGATCACATGATATTATGAAAATAGTTCTGAACTAAACCATTTATGTGAATCATAAACTGATAATCAGTATCAAATTTATTATTGTCGTTTTGAATAAAATTTTTATAAAAAGAATTGGTCTTGTATTAACGTATCCACCTCTCATTTTAATCTACTACTGTTTTGTCCTGTCCTTGTCACGATCATCTTTCCACCAAATTCTCGGCCCTTTACATCTGAATTTTCTGTGGAAAAACAAACAGCCATAAATGATAAGACCATTGATTTATCAAAAAATTACCTCGATTAATCCCGACCATCCTTGAATAATATTAATATCAAAAATCTAATTCCAATCAATTCATAAAGAAGAATGGATCCAAAAATATTTGTGCACTATACTCTTAATGAACTGGTTAAAATTGAATACTTCTGTTTCGTAACGATTTGTGTTCGTCTGTGACAATGCTTTTATTGGAATCTCGCGAAATATGTGCCATATTTGTCGGAGATCGCACTTTCACGATTTAGCATCCATAAACTAATGATCAAAGCCACAGCACTACTGACTATGAGTGGGACATAAATGAAATAAAAGTAGTTCCCACCTTTTCAAGTCATCAATGAATAAATGAAAATGAAAATTGTCAGAAATTAATCGATTTGATAGCATGACTTATCGAGAATAATTTGTCACCTAGAGTAAATTCGGAAGTTGCGATTGGACGCATATCTTTACAATCTTTTTTGTCCGAAATTGTATTTACAGTTTCTTCAGATTTATCATTCGCACTTTCGTTTCCTTGAACAACGTGATTGAGAGTTGTGGTTTTAGAAGGGTTCGTCGACAACAGAGTGCATTTACTTGAACTTTCAATGTTCGTACTACATTCCTCACGAAGGTCACGTAAAATTTGATTTTCTGAAGAGTTTGCAATCGACTGCGATCTATCTTCTGTAGGGAATAATGAGGGAGAAAAGATATGTAAAGTTTCTAATAACTTTTTGAATGGACCTTTGACGGCGGGATCATGTGCCATTATGGTGGTACAAGGAAAATCTCGAGCGTGAAAAAATTTAGGAAAAACCGTGTTTCGTAAGAGAATAAAGATTTTCGGGCATTTTATAATGATGAATGATAGAGTCATACATGGAAGCATAGAGAATAACACGCGGGAAATTACATTAGTAACAGGATATACGATTAACCGGCCCGTATTGATTTGTCGAGGTGACTACCGGCACAGGCGCAACGTTCAAATGCAAGACGTAATATTACGAGTACTCAACATATCATCATGACGTATACTTGAGCGTGGGATAATAAGTAAATTTATTTAACAATGATACAATTTTTCGTCATCGAATCATCAATTCGCCTATGGATAAAATAAGGCCGTTATTCCCCTTTCACCGAATTCTTTTCTGCTGTTACTTTTCATCGAATTTCTTTTCTGCTGTTACCTGTTAATTTTCCCGATTTCTTTGCTGTTGTAACCTTCATTCGAACTTTTTTTTTTGGAAAAAAATGTCTGACCGAGAATATTCTACAAAAGAGGGAGCTGTTAATGATGAACTTTACGAACAGGTTGTGGTACACGGAGATGAAGAATACGATCCATCAAAGGATGAAAGCGGTAAATGTTAAATTTCAAAGAGTACCACGTGTGCCTTTTATACTTTAATATATTCATCATCACTATCATTTTGGATCTAGTCTCCGGTGATACGATTCCAAGTAGGTCCACACCGCCCAGTTTACGCCCTTCAACTATTAAAACCAGAGACGCCGAAGGAATTTATGAAGAAGACGAAGATTCATTCGAGAAAGGTCCATCCTTAACCGAAGGGGACAATGACGAAGTGGACACTTCAAGGAAGCTGTAGGTGAAATATTGTAGGTAGAAAAATTTTTTCATCGATACTAATCATAATAAAAACTATGAAAGGACCTCCCTCGTATCAGCGTCTCATCGAACTGGTAGAACTTCAGAAGCCAAAAGGCAAAGTGCAGAAAAGGCTTCTGCATTACATGAACAAATTACCGGAAGTCCGTTGGAAATAAACGAAGGTACGTTGTTTTAACTGGTTTTTAAAGAATACCACCGATTTCCCACGTTGATGTCATTTTTTTTTCTTGACTAATTTCATGCAGAGGGAGAAGTCGTCACTGGTCCAAGAATCAGCAGTGGTTAATTCCATGTTAAGAAAGATGAATCTTTAATAAGAATCGATGTCGTGTTTTTTCTTTATTATTTCATTAGTCCATGAATTAAAATAAGCATTCACGAATCACATATAGCAAATCATTTGATGTCATCCACCTTAAAACCTTAAAATCATATGGTATTGCAAACACAATGGCAAATTTCTTTTTTTAGTTTACAAACAGTATCCAATCAAGATAAAGTTATTTAGGAACCAATCATGAAATATGTAAATAAAAAAAAGCAATTTCCAAGATTTTAATATTGATTTGCATATATTACGTCACATTGTTTTTTTTTTTTTAACGCATTGTTTCCTTAATCGACTACCGTAATTAAGAAACATTACGTATTAGTAGAAAGATCTTTCGTTATCACATTCTCGGAGGACTTCTACATGCTAAACATGGTAGTTCTATTGGTACAATGAAACATAATATATATATACGTGTGTTGCATATTCGCACTTGATGCAGATCACGACAACCAAGCAGTTTCTTTTTTTGACTTTGTTTTTTGCTTTTATTTTCTTTGCTCTCGTTATTGCGCCAGTGTTGGGTTGCTAAAAACAACAGACTATCTTGTTTCGAGGAAGAAAGCGTCGCCAAATAAATGATAGATAATTTATATTGAATAGAGTAATCGCGAGAGAGAATCAAATCGATCAGAATAAAAGAAAAGAAAGATGGAAAATAGTAAAAAAAAATCAATCGAATCACTCGAAACCTCCTTGAAGTCTTTCAAGAAACTTTTAACTTCATTTGGTGGTGGACAGTCGTCCAATAGTGGAAGTTCCAAAAAAGAGTCACCATCTTCAAAAGAAAGTTCTCAAGGATCTTCTAACTCTCCGGCATCAAACAGTGATCTAATGAACGAAGGAAATTCTGATAAAGAAGTTCATGATCCAAATATTAATGTTCCAACGGACCTCGGTCAATTTACATGTAATTATGGCAAAGAAGACTCGAATGAGGAATTTGAATACCTCTCACCCTCAGATCGCGTAGAAGCCAGCAGGGAAGGGATGCTGAATTGCATAATTAAATATATATGGCAAGGAAATTTCTCCTCACCTGATATCAGGGAAAAATTGAAGAGTGGAGCACGAGTACTTGACGTTGGGTGCGTGCATCTTGTGTTTCATGATTCTTGGTTTCGATCTTCGTTTTAAAGTAAATTTCATTTCACAAAAGCTGCGGCGCAGGCTCGTGGATTTTAGACATGTCGACGGCCTATCCTAATTCCACATTTGTCGGCATTGATGTCTCCTGCATTTTCCCGACAAAAAATTCTCCCCCGAATGTTGGATTCTTGGAATGTAATATTTTAAACGTGAATGGAATACCCTTTCCTGGTACGTGAGTTAACCTGTTTAGCTTGGCGCATACTAATGAGCGAATATTTTTTAAATAATTGTAAAAACTTTGTGTCAAAGACGAAACATTTGACTTTGTTTATCAAAGATTTATGTGGTCATCCTTAAACGAGAATCAATGGGTCAGTGTAATTCACGATTTGGCCAGAGTCACAAAAAAGGGTGGAGTTTTGGAGTTAATGGAACTCGATAACACGTGGGAAGACAAAGGAACTATAACAAATTTTCTTTTCAATTTTTGTAAGTCTTCAAAGATTCAAAAAATTCGAATCCGACGAATTGCTACGTATAGTGTACAGTATGTATTTGATTTCTAACATCTTGATTAATTTTGACTAGCAAATGATCAATATCGCGCCAAAGGCATAAATCCACATATAATCCTTGAAATTCCGAGAATGATAGAAGAAACCGGGATGCTTGCAGACATTAACCACGACAATAGAACAGTGCCACTTGGTGGATGGGGTGGGAAATTAGGGGATATGGTAATTAAATTTATATAAAATCTTCTGATGACTTCTCTGGTCACCGCGCTAATTCTGGCTTGTTAAACAGATGTTAAGGCATGTGATCCAAGGGTTCGAAACACTCAAACCCGCCATGACGAAAATGATGCGGAAAAGTACTGAAGAATGTGATAATATGTTAAAGGAATTTGGGAAAGAATGCGAAGAACTTAAGTTTTACATAAGGCAATATAGATTTTGGTGTAAGAAATTAGAATCAACATCGTAGATTTAAGGTAAACTTATTATTAATCTAGTTTTTTTTAATGCAATTATGCGAATAAATTGATCTACAATACAGTATATGCGCACGCAATCCTAATCTTAAGAAATTCTCATTCCTTTTACTGGCTACAAGTTTGTCGGATAGAAAATTATTTCAAGAAATGAAACATGTATTTTTAATAATTTTACCAATAAGCACTTATCAATATTCGATCGTTGTATCTTACAATACTGTAAGATTACGACGTGAACATGCTAATAAATTATCATAAAAATTATTAATTTATATTTATCAAACATGTTCGATAACTCAAATATTTTATCACTTTAATTAAAAAGACGCGTTACATTTGACTTATCTTAAAAAATTTTTGCTTACGCAGTACCAAAAGATTTTTCAAATTCAATTTTTTTTTTTTTTTTTTTTTAAAAAAAAAAATTACGATTACTAATCAGTGACTTGATCGATTCAATTCATTCGTTTACTCGTTTTACCCGTTTATTTATTTATTTATTTATATTCTATTTGTTTATTTGTTTTTGTTTATTTGTTTCGTTTTTTCATTAATGCACTTTTTTTTAAGTTATAGATGAATTTATAGATTAACTAACTGCATTAGATAATTTTTATTACATTACGTATTATATCGAAAATACATTATGATATTAACTTATTAGTAATTAAATTAGCCGCGTGTCCTTACTAAACGTGGAACAAAGACAATTCGTCCACATCTCTTTTTCTTTCTTTGATCTATTTCATCCTCAGAATGTTCCAGCAGATGTGTAATGCGACACAAACACTCACCAAACATCCCACCGAACTTATATAGAACACCGAGTTGTAACATTCTGCACCCACGCAGTGCTTTCCATGCAAATCATTGTTGTAACCGAACATGAGATTAAAAATTTGACCTCCAATGGCGGGAAACTTGTTTATGGGAATTGAGAAGAATAAAAAACTAAGAAATTGTCAGAGTCACGATGACTCGATTTTAAATAGACTCACTTACCAATGATAAAATCCCCCAATTTAACCCGAACCTTCTTGAACCAAAATACTCGCTCGTAATCGCCGGCGCAACTCCATATTGCATCCCAAAACCGAAACCCACAAAACATGTGACTGTCCACAAGTTTTCCAATGTTTGTACTTGTGTGCACATCAATATTTGTCCTGCGAATAACCATATGCCTGCTAATGCGAGAAAGCCAAATCGAGGGACATCATAAAAATATTTGGCCAAGTCGGAAAATAGTCCCCCACTTATCCGACCGAGACATGAGAATAACGATAGGAGAGAGACGTGGATGTTTTGAAGTCGTCGAATTTCGGATGGGAACGTGGGGTGTGTCGAAGACGCGTAGTAAAGAGTTCTTATGATAGTACCGACATTATTAAAATACATCAGCCCTGTCCCACCTATGAATACCATAATAAGTATCAACAGGAGAGCATCTTTGTTGTTTAACAATTCCCAGCCTCCTATATCCGGTTCTTCCTTGGTGATTTCTTGTATTTGTAAAAGAGGAGTTTGTTCGGTGGATCTCCCGTTGGATCCGCCATGTGCTATCGAGTAATCATGACCACTACTATTAGAAATATTATCGTTGCAATTTTTATCTTCTTCATTTATGCTTTTATTAATGTAATTTTCCCCCTCGAATAAAGAAGCAGTTGTGAGGAGAGGTGGAGGCACGATCACCAAAAACCAACTACCGATAAATAGGCAGGTCCCAGAGGAGACAGCAACGAAAATTAGAAAGTGAAAAGTATCATCTTGAAACAAGTGCATATTGATTTGTGAATAAATGAATGCCGATAAACCTAGTAAAGCTAAGGGAACACTTAATGCGAATCCTCGAAGAGATGTGATGTTTTTTGTCTGTCGAAGAGAAGAACGTGGGTTTATGTAATTTTATTTGGGAGAATGTGACTTTAATTGATACTTACGATTGTTACCATACTTGAAACTATGCCTATACGAAAAACAGAGCATTAAATCTAAGTGGAACATTACGCGCTGCACATATGTGTCGAAAAGGACATTTACCAGCAGAAGAAGCCATCCCAACACCAAACAAGTACAATGCACAAAGCATGAATGATGCCGGCAAGAAGATTTTCTGGTAGGTCATGGCAAGAAGGAAATAACTCGTGAATATGAGAATGGCCGCGGCTGCGCACGTTCTGATAGTAGCAGTAAAAGCACTCCTTAATTATGACGAAGAATCAAACCCATCATGTGCGAATAGCTTACCGTCGAGATCCATAGTTATCAGCGACATATCCAAGGAAAGGTTTACTCAAAGTGATCCCATAATTAGCTAAACTTCCAATGGTATTTATTTGCACCGAGGTAAAATCCAGTCGATCTTGTATTTCCGTACTATATGCCGAGAAAAGATATTGAGTACCGCATACCGATGAAATCAAGAGTGCGGAAAGATATGAGAGAGTTAGGGTCGTAATTCTGGACATTTCCTCGATTCGTTACGAAATCACAGTATATACTGTATACGAAAATTATGTATCAAGTATTCTTTCGAATTTGATCATAAAATTAAAATGTGATTAAGTGTTCTGAAGCTGAGATTATATACAAAAATTCTACTTCAGATCCTCCAAAGTATTAAATGATATATAACACTTTTGCAGTATATTATACTAAAGATAATTGGCACGGAGATTATCTCTTTAAATGACGTTCCAAACCCTGCTAAAAACGTTCCCACTCCTTCAAGGGCACTTTGACTCTATAAAAAACTTCCCTTTCAGATGACCTTTACCGAGTCGTGCAAATTGTCATGATTGGTATTTTAGAGTGCGCGTGGACAATGTCGCTGATCATCGATACTCGAATAAGGCATTGTTTGATCACATTATGCGGAGTAAAAATTTTTTTTACAAACACGATGATGACATTCATATGAAGTACAATTATAATTGGCCATCTAGTGCCAAGAAAAACTTGTTATGCCACAATGTATTAGAGATGATTATTCATGGTTTAGCGTTAGTGAGATTATAATTTATTTATTTTTTTTTTCAAAAAAAAAATATTGCTTGTTTCCTATTTAGTAATATTGCTATTACTGTATACAATTTTTTATTTAATGTATTGTTAAATTTTTAATCAAATTTTTTTGATTAATCGTAATATTACAGTATCAAATAAAGAAGAAAAAAATGATCCTTTTTTTTTTTGCAATATAGACGATTTAAATATTTGTAGCTCTCGAATGATTAATATTTTTTAAAATCGGGTGAATAATTGTAGATTCGATTAAAAAAAAAAAAAAGAATCGAAATATCACAAAATGTTGGTTTTTAAATTAACACTAAAATAAAAAATCTTTTAAAAGATATGTTGTATCGTATATTGTTTTTTATAAATTAAACTAATGATACATTATTTTTACTAGTTTCATTTCTCTTCCATATTAAAGAAAGATCTTATGTCAATTTAATAAAAAGCTTCCTTTATTATTAATTATTTAAAAAAGATATTTAAGCAGTAAGGTCAAGTAGTTACCTTAGATAATATATTTTTAGGTAATAAGTTTTGTCATAAGTATATCTTGAATGTTTTTGATTAACAAAAATCAAATGAATCTCTCAACTATAGATAATCAAATTAAAAATTGATTTTAAACCTTTTTTATTTATTAGTAGAAACTTTTTTTTCTTTTTTAATTACAAGATTATATTGGAAATACAGTATAAAAATTTTAAGACTTTTGTAGTTTTAATAAACTTTTTTTAATAATATTAATTAAATTTATTTTTTAGTTTATTTTTTTTTTTATTATATAAAAAACATTACAATATATAGTTTTTATTATTAAATATTTAATTATAACTTTATATTATATAGTTTCTTATAAATTAATCTATATTTTATATTTATAATCCAACTATACTAGTTATTATTGAATAAATATATCAATATATTAGATAGAATTATTAGAAAATAAAGATTTTATCTATAAATTAAATTACCTAATCTGAATAATCTAATTATATTTGAGAATCTCTTTTAAAAACATATTAATAATTAATATATTATCTTATTACATTATATTTTTGACTTTTATAACTTATAGTTACAAATCAAGTTAGTTTATAATATATATATAACCTAAATTGATTTTATAATACTAACTAATTTATAGTTACATACCTAATTAAAACTCTTTCTGCTGATCCTTTTGCCAACCCAAAAAACAGACGTTCTCAAAAAACTTTTTGTTTTTATGATAATAA